TCTGTTGCTTACTCTCTCCAGCTGATGGTCTTTTCGGGCCTTTCTTTTTCCAACCTTTGTACAACAAAAATGCAATAACAACAGAGTACAGCACGCAGCTTGCGATCCAAAGATACGTGAACGGGTTGTCCGTAGGGAGTACTTTCTGTTGTCTCATCAGCTCTGCTAAGGCTTGATTGATGTTCTCGAGGTCGCGCTTTGTTGGCTTCTCCTTAATACGGGTGTCAAACTCGCGAGCTTTGTACTGACCTTGGCAGGTGTTAATTTGGCGTAAGATGGTAATTGATGATTCAAACAAAGTGCATGCCTCTTCACTGATGGTACTTGTCATTCCCTCGGGACTAACTCGTTCTCTCATATCCAAATCCAAATCTTCCTGCACCGCGCACGAATTAGCATTTTGAAACCCGTTAATATCTTCACCCAATTCTTCGCAAACACTCTCTCCCTCCTTCCTTCTTTCACTTCCCCCAATCCCTGCACTCAAACTCTCTGAAACACTACCGAAAGTCTCCTCTAGTCTGGCGGCTTGATCCCGCAGGTTTTGACTCGTCAGTGCGAAGTCACCATATCCTTTCTCCTCTCACAATTCTTTCATCACCTGCATATAACCCATCTTTCGTTCATTATTCAACCGCGGGGAATTATCTGATTTCACCCTTTCCAAAGCTCTCTTCTTGCACTCCAACAAGTCATTGTTCGTCCTAACATTCCATCGTATCCTTCCGTTCGCCTGTTGTGGTCGTCCATCCGCCATGACACAAATCGCTCGCACATCCAAACAAAATCAAAATCAACTCAGCTAAAACTCCCGTTCAGAGGCGCTAAATAGTCTCGCAAAACTGCTTAACAATCTGCAAAGTGTACTAGATACTTCTTTAAGGATGCTCTGGCGCTCTAAACTCGGCCTGCTTTCGATGGGAACGGATTTTTATGAGAACACTCTAAAACACGTCCACACTACTTGCCGCCATATTATTATTATGTTAATGTTAAAGTTTTTGTAGGCGCCTTTGAACAGTAGGATACTGTCGCGGTATAAATCTTTTATTATTATTATTATTATTAAAAAGCCGGAATTCAACGTTTTCGAGTTTCCAGGTAAAGAGAGACTGAGAAAGGAATGGATTGCCTTCAGTCTTCGCTCTCATAAGGAGTTCACGTCCATCAAGAACTTGCATATACAGTAAAAACCCGCCTACAGGAAGCTGGGTTCTTAGAGCCTGTTAGGCTAAAATTTTCATTTCAAGCCCCCTCCACATAAGAACCTAGTTGGGCTAAAATTTCAAGTTAGGTTCTTATCAGTGGAGTTGCTGTAAAAGTGTATAGTATAGGTAGAAACTGCTAAACTAAGATCACCATCTGATTATATTTTATAACTACATTAACATAACATTTTTTTTCTTTTAAACTAAATTACTGTGTTGTATGTCTATGGCGTTTACTATTTAATTAAATCCTAAAGTATTTGCAAGTATAGTACTCTACTAATATCAAAATAGAGCTTCCTGACCATCTCTGACTCAGTGAGAAGCACAAAATATCAAATATAAAACCTAAAAATATATCCTGATGAAATAAATAATGGCAAAATATCAAAACAAAGTAAGCTCCTAAATCATTAGCAAAGTCTTTCTAAGATAATTTCCCCTTGAGTTTTCCCGGGTAGGAATCATGGGCCATAAGTCTGTACTTGGCAGGGAAGCAATGGAGAAATAGCTAGAGCAGGAGGAAAATTTGAACACGTGGCATGATAGTTTTACGTGCAAAGAAAAGGAGAATCCTCATGACACAATAGACTGGGGAGGCACGGATAAAGCTCTTCTCGGACAAGATGTTTGCCAAGAAACTGTTCATGAAGACTGATTGTTTAATGAGAGCTGATGGCTCTGATGATGAAATGATCATACCTCAAGGGCTAGAGCCAAACAGTTTTTAATTTTTTTTTTTATCTCTCCTCATTCCTCATTAGAGTGTCACAGAGAACTCCAAAAAAGGCAACACTAGAGGTTGATTGCTTGGAACTGGTGTAGTATGAATGTACTGTATTCATATCAAGATTTTCTTGGTATCAACTTTGAAATGGCAATTCAGTGAGCTCACTATGAGTTTCTTTGAGCCTATGTTTTGTTAAGGACATAATTTCACTGCACTGATAAATGATTTATATTGTATTATGACATGATATTCGTAATGTGTTTAAATGAAGTTTATAAGAAAATATAAGAACCTATTTTAGGAACCTTAGTAGCCTTAATTAATTTGCTTTAAGTACCATGGATATAAGAACCTGTTTAGCTAAATTAAAAAATCCAGGTTCTCAGACGCGGGTTTTTACTGTATGCTCCGAACACTTCGACACAAAACAAACCGTAAAGAAGCTTTCTAGGATTAAGAAGTTAGCACAGGGGACGCTTCCAGCAATATTTAATGAGCATACAGTCCATAGGAGGCCGAGTCAACGCGAAAGGAGATTGGATGAGCGGAGAAAATGAAATTCGACGGAAGACACCAAAGAAGTATTTCCTCCCAAAATTTGCCGTGTGTCAACACAACGAAATTGGGATGCCAAGAAAAATAGTACCAAAACACGGGGATGTGTTACGGAGACAGCGAAGCAATTTAACCACTGATCTCTACTAAATGTCTATGTTGTCTCGTAAACAGAAATCAGTGAATTAAGAGGAACCAGTGTTAGAACATGCTTAGCGACTAACAAACGAAAAACAAGCTACAGAATAAACACGCGATAGTAAACGAACTACCAAAATGCCCAAATCACAATAAAAGAACACTTAAATTAGATAGTAAA